GTTAAATCATCACAATCAAATAATGTCAGGGGCTAATAAACCTTTTCACCTTTTATATCAAAAGTAGCACAATGTTTGCCCACGTGATAAGCAATTGCAGAATCCCACTGCTGTAATTGGCCCCATTTCTGAAAAAAAAAAAAACAAAAGTATGAGGGACAGTACGCATGCACTGCCCAAGTGCTGTTTCAATGCGTGCGTTGTCTTGTAAAAGATGAAAAATGAAAGTCTGCAAAAATGAAAAAATTGATCAGTCACATGGAAAAAAATCTAAACATAAATAAAAATATAACATCCTATTTAAATCAAAACATTCTCATTTATTTCTTTCAAGTTCAATTTACGTCCAAAAATTCAAGAGTTTTGAAAATAGATCAACTTAAGGGAAAGATAAAAAGGTATATTATTTTATTTTTTTATGAATTAAATTTAGTTGTAAAAATAATTAAATTGGTTTTTTGTGCTCATCTTTTCCCCTAATGTTTTCTTTTTTCTTGGTAAATGGATTTAGATTTAAGGTGGAATTCTGAAAATAATGATGAGTGTGAGGTGGAGGAAGAAAATAGTGATGAGGATGAGATGGAGATGGAGAAATAAGCTATAGAACCAAGAGAGAGAGAGTTGGAAGATAGACGAAAAAGGGATAATGTCTTTTATTCTCTTATTCATTTAGGTACTTCAATATCTTAAAGATATATTTTGAAATATCTTAACAAACAAAAAACAAGAGTTTTCAAACTTTCAAGTTGGCAATGGGTGAAAGAAACATTGGGAACTTTAGGTGAGAGTTATAGAATATTTAAAATGGAACCACATGTTTTTAGGGGATTATGTTCTTTGTTAGTTAATAATTATGGCCTAACATCAACAAGAGAAATGTATGCAGAAGAATTACTTGCAATGTTTCTTTGGACATGTGCGCATAACCAATCTAATCGAAATGTGCAAAATCTTTTTAAACATTCAGGAGAAACAATAAGTAGAAAATTTGGTGAGGTTTTCAAGTGACATTATGAAACCACCTGATTATAATTTTACTGAAACTCCTAATAAGATTTGATAAGTAAGTAGGTTTTGGCCTTATTTTAAAGGATGTATTAGTGTAATTGATGATACGCATGTTAAAGCCACAGTCTCTAAAGAAGACCAAGTACCATTTAGAGGTTGCAAAGGCATTCCTAGTCAAAATGTGATGGTAGTTTGCAATTTTGACATAATATTTATATTTATAGTTACAGGGTGCCCTGAATCTACTTATGATGCACATGTTTTCACCCACACATTGAAAAAGCATAATGATGTGTTCTCTCATCCTCTTGATGGTAATAATTTTTTATTTATTTTGTATTATAGTTTTTTAGCACAATTCTTAATTAATTTTTAAGCAAATTTTCATTATTTCTTATCAATGACTTTTCTCTTTTATTTTAGGTAAATATTATCTTGTTGATACTGATTATCCTAATATAAAAGGATATTTGGTATCTTATAAAGGAGAAAGGTATCACAATCCTGATTTTAGATGTGAAAGCCAACCAAGCGATTATCAAGAAGTATTCAACCATGCTCATGCTTGCCTCAAAAATGTCATTGAACAATCTATTAGGTGTTGGAAAAATAGGTTTGAAATATTGTTTGGCATGCAAAATTATTTATTTACAACACAAAGAAAGATAGTAGCTACAACTGTTGCACTTTATAATTATATTAGGCAACATGCAATCAAGGATAAAGAATTTGATAAATGTGATCAGAAGCTAAATTATATGCCTGAAGTGCCAGGGGAAGAGAGCATGGATCAAGGAATTTCTCAAAATAATTTTGTTAGTACAACAGAGGATTGTAACATGATTTCACTTCGAGATTCCATAACTTCATCCTTAATGGAAAATCAATCAAGATGATTATTTGGCATAAGTTTTAATTTTAATTGTCTTATTTATGTGACTTAAATGCAGTATATTTTATTTTTTAATATTAAAATATAAGCATTTATTTAGCATTTATGTTTTAAAATATAAATAAATAATTTTTA